GAAAAGAACTCACTCTACTGTTTTCCCGGTAGCCTACATTTTCAAGTTGGTTTTCAGAACTTTCGGAAGAATTTGCTGCCTTTGGCCTTCTGTGGTCACATTTTAAGCATACCATGTTTCTCCTAAAATTGATGTAGTTGCACCTGAACACAATATATGTCTACTGTTTGTGAAACAAGATTCAAACATAAACCATTTCAAAGTGTAATATATTATCAACCAAAAAAAAGAGAGCCAAAAAAATACTTCAAAGGACGTTATAACAACTCACGATGGACATTCCCATTCTCCTGGATTAAGATGCCGCTTTGGAGGATTCTCTTTGCATTGCAAGCATTTTGTGTTCCTCGCGAAATTCAAGAAATTGCATCTGTGTAATAAGAAACTCTCGATAAGAAACAGAACAACAAGAAGGGTAAAGGTCTATGAGATCACTAGCCATTACTTGTCACATATCCAGTCCCCTTTCTTCAACGGAAGATGATCCTGATCCTCCCTGAGTTGCTTCAGTCTTTCTTGGTATAAACCATCACAGCGCAAGCACTTGATATTTTTGGCAAAGTTTAGGAAGTTGCATCTGCAAAAATGAAAGATTAATAAGGTGAACCAGTTCAAGAAAAAAGACACAACAACGTGAAAAGTTAAATCAGAAACAAGACGCTTCCATATTTACTTGGGACAGAGCCAGTCGCCTTGCTTCATCGGAACATTTACGTGGCCTTTTCCTTGTGAACTTGAATGGATGTTCACTGGTACACCTTTTTCCAATGTTGACTTAGGGGAATGAAAATCCATGACCCGCATGCTATAGTCTACCATCTGCTTCAACAGGCTTCTTACCGATTCTTTTACCATTTTGTTGAGACACGGCTTGTTTTCCACTGTACCAGAGATGGGATCAAGCCCATACGTTAACAAGAAACGCATAACATCCACGGTCCGCCCACCTTTGTCTTCCTGTGCCTTTACATATGCCCTTTCGCAGTCACCTCGCAAATTGCAGGAGCTGCAAATCTACTACAATGCACGCTCCTATTAGATGATGAATGCCTACCTATTTGATTAGTTGGAAAAATAATTCTCTGGCATGTTTCATTTCATTATTTTAACAAGTAGATACCAAAAAATACCAAGACTGAATGTTTATTTTTACTTAATGGGAAAACTTTAATAGGTTAATTTAACTAAAATGCATAAATGAGAAAAATGGCAACATACATCTCCTTCATCGACACCCACGTGTGCCCTTAGCCGCTTCCCTGAATTCACAACTTTCCTGTCTAGACTTGGGCATCCGCATCCTGCAATGACCTGAATGTCTTTCCTCGATAAAAACCTGCAGCAAAGTCCTTAATATAATCTGTTTCTGAAAACAAGAAACCTCGCATTCCATAACAAACTTATTTTTCCAACTTCCAGGCCTGGAGCCAGTAAAACAACGACATTACCAAACACACCTATTTAGAATCACTTTACGGCCTGCATATTCAAGTCCTCCAGTAAACTTATAATCAGTGTTTTAAAACTAGACCAAACCAAACACACCAATTTTCCCAAATCTTTTGGTACAGAGTGTTAGAGGTTGTTAGTTTGTTACTAATTCAGTTGTTTAGTTATGGTTCTGTTGTAATTAGTGAGTTTGTTAGAAGCTTAACTATAGTTAGCTGTAAGCTTAGTTAGTTAACCATATGAGTAGTAGACTGTATTTAAATAGTCTTGTAATAAGTCTCAGATTAAGACATTCAATAATAGAAGTTTATTTCATCCAAAAATCCTTTCTCTCTCCTTTTTAGTTTCTATCTCTACTTTGTTCCTTAATATGGTATCAAAGTGGGTTGACGAAGAAGATTGAAGCTCAACTTCTGCAACAATGGCAGACGCAGCATCTTTGAAGTTTGTTCCAGTGTTCTTTACTCATCCGATTTCTTCCAAACTTGATCAGAACAATTTTATTGTTTGGAGAAAGCAAGTTCTTGCGACAATCAGAGGTCATCGACTCCAAAATTATCTTTTTGGGTCAATTCCACCGCCGGCGAAGTTCTTAGCTCTTGGTGATGAGATTCTTGGTAGAATTAATCCAGATTATCTTGATTGGGAACAGGAGGGCCAGCTCATTCTTTCTTGGCTGCTGGCATCCATGTCGGGTTCAATTCTCGCTCGCATGGTTAATTGCGATTCTTCCGTTCCAAGTTTGGCATACTTTGGAAGTTTATTTGCTCAACAAGTTCGTACAAAGGTAACACAATTCAAAACTCTTCTTCAAAATACAAAGAAAGGTTCAATGAATATCAATGATTATCTGCTCAAATTTAGGGGCTATGTTGATCTTCTTGCACTAGTTGGTCACAATCTTACTACAAAAGATCATGTTGATGCAATTTTTGAGGGTGTACCTCCGGAATACGAAACTTTTGTCACTTCGGTTAATTCTTGTATGGAACCCTACTCTGTGGATGAGATTGAATCTCTATTGCTTGCTCAAGAAGTGAGGATTGAGAAAAATACTACTTCTTTGGAGGCCAATTTAGCTGCTAATGGCTTTCCTGGTCACTTTTCCATTCGAGGACATTTAGGTTCTTCTCGTGGTGGTTTTTCTGGTGGTAGAGGCTCCTTCTCTCAGGGTCATGGTCAAGCTCATGGCAGAGGACACTGGAATACTGGTGGGAAGGTTCAGTGCCAACTCTGTGGACGAGTTGGTCATGTTGTGCAAGATTGCTATTACAAATTTGATCACACTTTTCATGGGCCTGCTTAACTTCATGGAACTATTCAAGGCAATATTGCTCAGTATAGTAGTCCTACCTCCACTTTTAGTCCTCCTATTCACGGCCAACCTGGCACTGGTGCTTATGCTTTTGGTTATGAAGATCCTTCTATGTTTGCCATGATGGCCACTCCTGAATCTGTTCTTGATGACAGGTGGTATCTCGATTCTGGAGCTACAAATCATCTTACATTTGATGCTTCTAACCTCATGACCAAGGCCAAATTCCATGGCTCAGAACAGGTTCCTATGGGAAATAGTAAGGGCATATGTATTAAGCACATTGGTGATTCCGTGTTTCCATCTCCGTTTATGTCTTCTAAAACTTTCTTTAAAAAGTCTTCTTCATGTTCCTGAAATAACTAAGAATCTACTTAGTGTGTCTAAGTTTGCTCTTGACAATAATTTATATTTTGAGTTTCATGTTTTTTCTTGTTTTGTCAAGGACAAGACTTCTCATCATATTCTACTGGAGGGGAGACTTAAAGATGGTCTATACGTCTTTGATCACTCACAAATCAACTTGCAGCATCTCAAGCCTGTTGCATCATACTCCTCTTCAGCTCTACCGTTTCAGTATGCTCAACCTTCTACTTTTGCTGCTTCAGTTTCTCTACCAGGTTCACTGTCGAAAGAGTCTGTATCTCTTTTACCTTCCAAATGTCATACTAATACTGTTGTACATCAGCCT